AATCAGCAACTGGTCTGAAGCGATGAGACTGTCACCTCAGCTTCTGCTGTCAAATCCCCTCTCAGTTGCTTTAAAAATGTAGTCCTTAGAGAACTGAGACTTGCTTCCTGTGAGAGATCTGTGCTGTGAGTCCAGAGACTTTTGCTTTGCCTGTTTCCACTGCAGAAAAAGTGAACAGGAACAATCTGTTTAAAGCAGAACAAACTTTATACAAAAGCTAAAGCTGATGCTGGCTCTCTGCGCACCTCTTCATTTACTGCTGAGCTGTCTGCTGCAGCCAAGTGTCTTGGGCACTTGCGCAGAAGTGCTAATAAGTAGCCTGGAGACTGTTTTACATCTTTTCTCTCTGTTGTGGTTTTCCAGCGGACAGAATGGTTCTGTGGCAGGAATATAAATCCTGAAATGTGAGGAAACAGCATTCAAGCCTTCTCTGCTGCCAGTTGCTCAATCTCTGTACGCTCCTATACATATAAGATGGAGAAATATATATATGTATATAAATAATCTTGCACATATAAGCGTGGAGATACTGCTCCCTTTTCCCTTTGCAAGTTTGCTTTTAGGAGTTAAATGGTCATTGAGGCGATGGGGTTATATAGGATGTTATGTCACTGAGAGGCTGGAAATGTACCCTTTAGTGAATAAGTGAGATGAGGAGGGTGGCCTGCAGCGGGTATGCACCCGACATTGTGGATAGGTGGAAGATCTGCTGGGCCTGGACCAGGCACCTGGACAATGTCAAGATCTGCAGGGAATGAAACTGAAAGCACCTTTACAAAGAGACCTTTCAGCCAAGTGATTAGCAATGATAAACTGACTACATGGCAGATGTCTCTGCACTGAGCTTAAACCGCTATATACAAAATGTTTTTTTATAGAGAGAGATCAAATAGTTCCAGTCACTGTGGTTTTTGGAGACCACTTTGAATTCATGTACACAATTCCCTGAATGAATGACTGGGAGGATTATTACAGGTTGGCTTAATGTTACTGAGTTAGTCCTAATAATGGCATGGCTACAGGGGAAGGATACTGCAAATACTCCTTGCAAACACAGAGGATCCAGTTGCTTCTCTTCTGGGAGCTGAGCAGAGAGTGATAAGCTAATTAATACAAAGGGATCAGGAGGAAAGCTGATTCTGCACAAACTTTTCTGTTTAGAAATGTGGTTTAAAAGTCCTGCTTTAAAAGAAAAACCCAGTGCCAATGATCAGAGATAGAAAACAAAATTAAAAGTACCCATAACATACTGTAGTGAACACAGAGTTTGTCTTGTCTGTTGTTCAGGCCTGACCTATCTGAACTACTGTTCCTAGTCATGGCAAACCCTCGTTGCTGTGGGCTTTCTGCAAACACACAGCAGGCACTGATTTCTGGCGCTTCCACTGAGAGAGCAGAAAGACTGTTATTGTTCCTCTTCTCAGTTCAAAGGCCACTGAAGTGGTTCCTGTGTATAAATAGTGTAGAGTGCTTTGGCATCCCTTGGGATAAAGGGAGCCTTATTAAATACAAGATGATGTTGTAGTGATGTTGTACGCAGAAGGAGTTCCCATTAATCAAGCCCTGAGTGCCTGTCTCTTGCCTGCCTTCCCGTTTTTTACCAGGGCCTGTGTGTTTGAAGGGGCCTGTGCTCTCCACATTATCAAGTTCTGGGAGCAGTGGCCTGTTCTGGCCACTGTGGCTCTTCATGTTCTGAGAATGTGGCTGTGTCTGTGTGTGCTGTTAGAGCCAGAAAGTCTTATCGAGCTTTTGTTTCCTTTAGAGTGGAACAGTTGTAGAGCACAAACACGCGCTCTCCTGCACATGCTTGCTTGCACTTTATTTCTGTCTGTCTGTCTTTCTGTCTGTCTTTTTATGGTTGCAAAATTGGTTATAGACTGAAGTCCCTTTTAGCCTCAAGGATCCTGCAACCAGTCATCACTTCTCCCAGGTTTGAATAAACCCCTCATAAAATACTTAATACACAGGAATGTGTGTGGCAATGAGCATATAAATCTTTGCTGAGTTTAAATTTAATCTCATTGTTATTTATGTTTCGGTAACTCCTTCCCCTGAGGAGTAAACTGTCTTGGAAAAATGAGAGGAACGGCTGAGTGCTCTCATCCTAAGAGACAGCTTTTGTGCTGGAAGAGGTGGCTCCTTAGGTGTATTAGAGATGTAGTTCCTCATCAAATGCGTGATTCTCATCATAACTAGTAGGAATTAAGGATCCACATCTTTCTTGAGAAGCATTTGAAAATGAGCCTGCTAGAGCCACAATAGAAGAAAAAGGCGATTTTTGCAAGTGTGGTCCCTCAGATCCAGTGATGTAACAGGTTTTTTGGGCAGCAGGTCTTTGATTCATCTGTAGAGGTGATGCCCAGGCCAGAAAGCACTGAGGTGAGATTCTCCCAGATTCCCAGGGCACCATCTCCCAAACCCTTTTTAAGTCCTTCAGAAAGGTGCTCTCCCTGGGGAGAGGTGGAGTCAAGTGGGGTCCATCAGCAATGGCCAAGAGATTTTATTTCTTGCTGAATGTACCTGACCAGTCCAGGAACTGTTGTGCACAGGTGTGACAGAACAGTTGATGTGGCTGGAAATTGCCTTTTTTTTTTTTTTTTTTTTTTTTTGGTATATCTTGATTCTCAGCAGCCCCTGGAAGGCTTACAGCAAGATTCTTTCACGCAAAGTACCATACAAACAGTCAAGGCAAAATGCTCCATGCGCTGAGGAGCGTGTAATCACTTTAGACAGTGGGCAGGGGGAGATAAAAGCATGACACTGCTTTCATACTGTGGTCTGTAGAATCTCCTGTGTAAATGGAAATTAAATACATTTAGTATTTAACAGCTGGGGGGAAGGATTCTAGACCCAAATCTGCTCTGCATGTCTGTCCCAAACAAGCTATACATGGGGGGAAAAAAAAATTCTGAGAAGAAGCTTCTTTGCCTCACTAGATGTCTTCACGTTTTGCTTTCTCCCTGGCCCTGGAGGCATAAGTACTTTGACTTTCCAGCATGTTCTGGCATGCTGAAATGGAAAACAAAACATTCAGCTTTGTATCCTGGGTTGACTTTCTTTCCTAAATGGGCAGAAGTGTGGGAGCAGCATGTGGCCGACCTATAAATGGTCGGGACAAGGGCTGCTGGGGGAGCGTTTGGGCTCAGGCTTGGGAATGAGGATGCCTCAGAGTTACTGCTTGTTACTGCCTGGGCCTTCCCTCCTCTCCACTCGCGCCTCCAAAGCAGACCCTGGCTACTGCACGAAGGTAGAACTGCTGGAAGCACAGGCAGCCAGGCAAAATTTCAATGAGGGAGTATCTGGGTAAATACTCAAGAGAGCTGCTGAACAAAACAAATTCTGAGCAGGAGCCTCTGAGCAGGTTTCTCTCTGAGAAGGAAGGATGGAGACAGAGGGGTGAGCCATTCAGTCCTATCCAGGCAAGGCAGTGAGTGTCTGCACAGTGAAACCTGCCACTAGAGATGTGTTGTGTGTGTTTTTTTTTTTTTTTTGTTTTTTTTTTTTGATATCGTCTGGTTGATTGTCAAATGTTGTTTTAAAGCAGTTCCTGAAAGAGATCATCAGTGTAGAAAAGTCTCCATTCATTTAAACAACCCATTGTCCAGCACAGTATGTGACAGGTCTTTTAGTTTAGTTTACGATTCTAGTACTGTGGCCTTTTTTTGAATGCCTCGAGAGCTGGGATTTCCACTGTTTCTGTGTGATTTAGAAACTGCGTAGTAATGTGAGTTCAAAAATTTCTAGCATTTACCAGAGCATTCCTTTTCCTAGGGAATGCTGTCTGATCATAAATGAAGGTGTGTTGCGTCTCTATGTGTGAACAAGGTTGGCAGGAAACTCCCCTTAAAAGGATGCTAAAGTGGTTATGATTTGTACTATATTTTATCTGGTAGTAAAAAGCAAACCTGTACTCTTCCCAGGTGGTTTGCAAGTACTCCATTCTCCTACTCAGGCAGGTCAGAAGGTATTGATGGTTCCATTTCCCAGTAAAGGCAAGAGATAAGAGAGCTTAAGCCTTAGGCTGCGAAATAATTAACTATCAGGGTGAAGATCAAAGCATCAGTAATTCAGTATCGAAACAGACAGTTTAGGTAAGAAGAACTGGTATTTCCTTCCCTTCTGTCCATGCTGCTACCAGCAATGCCAATGGAGAGAGATTTCAGGGGAGAATCAAATCTGCCTGCTGTGGTATGAGGGTGAGATGGCTGAGGATGTGGTGATAGAAATATATGCATAAAAAATGGGAACCTCTATCTTACAAAAGCAGGCTTCCCTGCCCCCCTTCCCCTATGTTATGAAGTTATGCTTCAGCAGGGATGGAAGCTAAAAAAAAAAAATAGCGACTTGCAGGTACCTTTTTCTCTTTGTTCTGGTTCGTGCTCCTTTTTTTGAGGATTCTAAGCCCTTCTGTTCGCTTCTTTGCTCTTCCCAGGCGGTCATGAAATGCCTCCCACGCTGTAGCCAGGAGCAGTGGTCACTTTGAAGCACTGTCATCAGCTGGGGCATCACGTTGCACAGAAGGGTTTGCTTCATGAGCCTTCTCATAGAGTTACTTCCAGATCCTTTTAGACTAATCTGCTCTTGTCAAAATGGATTGTCACTGTGATGTGTACACGGCCTTGACAGAAACAAACGCGGCGTTTACAGGATATTGCAGACATATGAATATAAACCTATTCTGGTGGCTTCCCACCATTCAGATTTCCCTTTGCTGCAATCTGGGTTTCCCCTGTTATTCTGTGCACACTTTCCAGTTTATTCAGATGTGTTCGTGGTGTGTATTCGGAAGCTATGTGACCTTCATTAAAAGGAAGACTTGATGGCAAAGTGTATTGTCAGGTTCTAATTTCCAGAATAAAACTTCTCATGGTTTGTGTTTCTATGTCTCACTTTTTCTTTTCTTTTTCAGTTGTTTTTCTGAAGCCAACAGAGGAAAAGAGACAGCAAGAAAAGAGCGTGGAGAGGAAAAAAAAGTCTTTGCAGGGAACTGAAGATTTTCACTGGTGCTTCGAGTTGTTTAGGTGGTGAAAGGTCAGTATCTGGTCTCTTGGCCCATGCTGGCTCTGAGTTTGAAGTGGGTAATGGTGCATAGGAATTGTGTAAACCACAGGACATCACCTACAAGCTTTAGAGTTTAGGTTGAGGGGGGCTCCAAGTTTAGAGTGGAGGAGCTCTTTATTTGATGCCTTGTAGCTGCTTTGTGAGCTGTGTGAGATCTGCTGGCAAGTTGATAAGCAGCTTGATGCTTTTCTGCAGATGTTCCGGTGGGGTAGGCAAAGCAGTGGTAGTGATATTTTTAGTTTTTGGAGAGAGAACTTGGACAGTGAGGTCATGTTTCCAGGAGCTGGAGGTTAGCCTTCCTGAAGGATGAGGTTTTCAGGCAGTTTGCTGGAGATAATATGTCAGGTTATCGGCCCACGCCTGAGCTACGCATACCAAGAACATCACGTCTGTTCTGTTTGCTGGGAGCTGCCTCAGGGCCAGAGTTATTTGCTATGCAGCTGGCCAGGGTAGTAGCACAGACAGACTGCAGGTAACCACACCTTGCCCTCCAGGCCAGCAGCATGCCCAGTGAGTGTGTGAGGTAGCCACATAGACAGGGGCAGATAACACTGACCTTGCAGCTCCTGGGAGCTACTTTTTCATAGCAGCAAAAATGCACCCAGAGGGTCTGTTCTGTGCCAGGCCTTTCTTGTGTGTGTTGACAAAGATGAGCCTGAGGGCTGCACTTCAGTCCTCACCATCAGTCATATGGGGCCGAATGCTATATACAGCATAGGATGTTCTGTTTTCTCCCATTCATAAAAGTTACCCATGAAATAGACGTCACTGACATGTTGGGCACCATTTTTTTTGCCCTTACTCATTATTTTAAGCATTACTTTGTATTGCCTTTAATGGCCTGGGAACTATTTCGTTTGTTTTGGCATTGTTTCTTCAGTTTCTTCATCATCCATCAGGTGCTACCTCAGGGCATATTGTGCAGAAAAAGCCTGCAGGCCTGGCTTTCTTTGCTGTTTAATTAACTCCTGTTACTGTGCAAGTTGAGGCAAATGCATTGGGCAAAATCTGCGATGACTAAATGAATGTCTAGCAAGCAGGAGCGTCTGTGCATGTGCATGCCACGTGCTTTGTGAGCTGGATTGTAGTGCATGCCTGCATATGCCTTTGGGTCTGCAAATGAAAATATACTAGTCTGATGTGGAACGCCAGACCGAGTCCTGCCATTGAGATTTTAGGTGGTTCAGCACAGCAGAACAGCTGTTTGTGAAGTGCTGTGTTCCCAAGTGTTCTGCACCCAGAACTGGAGCTTAAATTTTCAACTTCAAATGCAGTCTTGTTGTCCAGTTTGCCTGAAGCCTTAGCCTCTGCAAAACCAGAGCCCTCGAAAACTGGGCCTGGAATGGCTAGCACCTGACATTAGCACATGCACGACATCATGCTACCCAGCTGGAAGGTTGTGACTTGCATTCAGACAGAGGAGAAAGAATTGCCTTTTTTTTTTTTCTCTCTCCTCCTTCTAGACCTAGTTGTGTAGGTGTGTCAGTCTTTCCTGCTCCTTCTCTTTCATTTTGTAGGTGCTTCCCTATTACTCAGTTCTCTAATACTTCATTGCTAGTGTATTTAAGCACCTCACAATCTTTAATGTACTTGGGCCAGCACACGCTGTAAATGTTTGCCACAATCTCTTTAACAGACAGCCTTCTCAGGATGAGAATAGGTTCTAGTAACCGCAAAAGAGGTTGTACAGCTTCTTTGGCCAAGATAATGTATATTTTCACCATCTTTTAAGGTGGTGAAAATGCATTGCTGTAGGGCTTTTGCCAATACAGCAAAGTCATCTGGAGCCTGTCCTGCCTCTATCGGCAAGAGTTCCCACTGCAGATCCTTACAACATCACTGGGTTTAGAGAGATGTGTCCTGCATTGTAGAAGGACGAACGGAAGCAAGGGATAGATAAGCAACTCGTCCCAAACTATGCAAGAGGTATGTGTCAGTGGAGAACTGAATTCAAGCTGTTCAGTTCCCAGTTTCTTGACTGATCTTCAAACTGTTCTCCTTTCCTTTTGTGTGTTGTTTCATTTGCATTAATTTGTCTTTGTCTTTCTTTTTTACCCGCTTGTTTTTGTGTATTTTGTTCCATTTAGGCTGTGACATCTTCTTCTCTCTTATGTTGTGGCGTGGAAGGAATCTGTAGGAAGAATCTTTTTCCAATTTCTGGCGCATAGCATATAGTAAAGCTGTCTTTATGACTAAATTTCACTGCCTTCATCCCATGAGTACTTTCCTTGTATTTAGCTTACTGTTGAAAGTACTATCTGCTGGAAGAGACCAAATGAGCTTCATTGTGGCAGTGCTTTTGGTCTTTTAGCCACATTTTCAATTAGTAAACACTTTATAAGTGCGTGAGAACAGACATGAGCTTCACAATAAAAATATACCCAGGTGGGTATACCCAGGTGGCATGGCTCACCATTTTCTGCCCAGGGAAGGGCCTGTTTGTAGTTCTCTGTGATGCAGTATAAACATTTCCCTTGGTGTTTTGGAATGGAATAACAGCTGTGGGTGCTAGTTAAGGTTGCTTGTTCTCATCCAGTTTCAAGAATGTTTCATGTCACTTCTTTGGGGCTGACTGAAGTCAAGAAACCCTGGTCACGTTAGTGGGCTTTGGGTGAGGCTTGTGCTCACCGAGATGCTCAGGTGCAGACTGGGACCTGCTGCCTTTGGAGCCTTGGTGGTGGTCAGCAGGTTGCGCAGCCTGCGGGGCAGTGGCTCTCCTGCTCCCGCTGTAACCACGGAGCGTGGTGCTCCGTGCTCACGGCCTCTCCCTTTGGGAAGGGCAAGCCACTGATGGCTCCTGCCTTCCTGTGCTCTCCCTGCAGAGCAGGCAGCTCCCAGCAGCTTTGCCTGAACCTCTCTTTGCAGTGACGGCAGGGGGACAGCCATGAGGCAGGGAGCAGCAGGGTGCTGCTTCCAAAAGGAGGGTGCTGTGCTTCAGGGAATAACGTCCTGGTTGAGTCGGGAAGCATGCAGAGGCAGCCAGCACCATCGGGGCTCCTCCTGGCTAGGAAGGATAGATCAAACGGGAGACAGCCACAATTGCTCTGTGATTAATGCTCTGCCCTCACTGCATGAGTCACCGTGCTTTATAAACCTGCAGCTGTTCCCTGCCAGCTTTCTGGAAATAAGCACATCCTCTGCTCCTGGCAGCAACGCTGAGCTGTGCGGGAAGTCTGTGCGTGGTGCTCAGTGGAGCAGGATCTGCAGCGCTGAGGGGAATTTCAGACTCTGTCATCCAAGCCCACACAGAATCTCAGCTGCCTGTCTGCCCTGTCCTCGCCCCAAAATAAGATTCAGTTTCAGCTTGGATATTTGTGGCTCCAAATCAGAAGGAGGTGCAAATCAGCATTGCTCAGTAGGGTCCAGCAGCTGCTATTGGTGATACCTGGAAATGCTGTTAGTGGGTGTTTTTTTGTTTGTTTGTTTTTCTCTCTCTTTGATGCTGTCCTCTGAGGACTTTACTCCTATAACTCTGGCTGATCAGTGAAATGAAGCAGATTAGTCTCAGAGGAAGAAGCTGCAAGGCAGGTTTGCTCTGTGCAGCCCTGATGTTAGCAGGCATGGGCAAGATGCCAAGGATAGCAGAGCCTGAGGAGTCTGTTTCCACAGGGCCTGCGTCTGGGATGGGTTCAGGGACCTGCCTTGGGTCGTGCAAACGTGTGTAGCTGTGGGAGCTTGCCTGACTGTTGCTGTTCCTGTTTTGTGGCTAAATGAAGCCTCTGGGAGCTGTAAATCTGTCACCTTCTATGAACATTACATTCAAAGCATCTTCTCATTCAGAATTACAAGTCTACCAGAGTGTATGGTGCCACCAGCATCCATTCCTTCCCCCTGCCCCAGGGTTTTGTGCTACCACTTGGTCATTAATCTGAGCATTGCTGGTGTTCCTGATATTTTCTGAAGATCAGGCATTACGCTTCTTAATATGTGCCACTATCTCGGAGCTGTTTCTGCCTCCATGAAGTGGCTTTCTGCTGCCAGCTGTGCAGTCAGATGCTTTCATGTGAAGCTGGGCAAGGAGGTCAGGCAGGGTGGACTACTTCTAGGATGAGCACCTTCTCTCTCTTAGGTTTCTTGCTAGCCTTATTTATTAGTTTCTCAAACACTGGCCTGGCTGGTGTCTTGAGTAAGCTGTAGTGGCGGGGGGGTGGGGGTGGGGGGAAAATACATCCATGCAAATAAAATATAATTATACTTCTGACTGGACAGCTGCTGTGTAATTCTGTAGGGAGTTAGGATATAAAGTCTGATGCTAGAAACGTAGCCACAAGGATGATGCTGACTAACAGACCTGACCTGGTAGTCACTAGATGTGGCAGCTGGGCATGTGTACTCAGTGCTCTCACACAGAGAGCGGGTCTGATGCTTTTCTATTACTACAGGGTGTTTTGTAGGGGACTTCCAAGGTGGGTGGGTGGGTGTGTGTGTCTGTCCTGCAAGGCAGGGTTGCAGGTGCCTTTCCAGAGGAAGCTCGCACTACTTGGGAGAAGGAATTTCTCCGTCAGGCCTGAGCTTGGTGTCTCTGGGAAGGGGAAGGGGCTCCTTGCCTGCCTGCCTTCAGGGAAACCTTTCCTTCCAGAAAGCTGTTTTCTCTGATATGGGCACAAGATGCTCAAAAGAGAGAAAGCAAGATTTTTGCATCATTCCTCACTGCCTAGGAGAGAATGAAGTGGATGATTTTTTTTTGAAGTAACTCCTAGAAAGGAAAAGGTTGTGCAGGTCTAGGTCCTCACAAACATCTGAGGCAGATAGTGATAGTCTGGGCAGTGCCTTTTGCCTGCGAAATTCTTCTGGGAAACTCGGAACCCGTTCACGTGAAACACGGTGGCGGTGGTGTTACATGGAGCTGCACTAACTGCAGAACCACTTCTGAGAAACAAGCTCAAGTGCATAGCAGATCTCAAAAGCTTTGCACTGGGCTTGATTCATAACGCATATCCAGTGGCTTATGTATTTAAGTGATTTTTTTTTTTTTTACGCTCTCGAATCTTTTGAAGCTAATGGTTATTATGTGTTTCTTTCTCTTGGTAGCTGAGACAACTGCCCTAGGAAACAGAGCTGGCTGGTGGGAACTGTCATAAAAATAAGCAAGACAGTGTGAAGAAGAGAATTCATTCTTCTGCCATATTGCTGGGTTTCAAAAGGGATAGGACATTTGGATGCATAATGAGTACATTCCCAGTTACAGCTGTAAGGGTTAAAACTACCTAGAACTCAGCAAGGGATCTGTTTAAGGCAATTATTACTAATGCCAGTGAGGAAAGAAAGCTCACTGGGGCCAGGTCATTCTGTAAATGCTAAGGAGAGTTTCCATCATCTCCTCCAGAAGCATCTGGTCTGGGCTGCGCACGGGAGCCGGGTACTGGGAGCCCTGGTCTCCTGCCCAATGCAGGGTCCTGTGACAGGAATGGGCACCATAAGGATGAGGTGGCTGCAGTTCAGCTTGAGTAGCAGCTCCTGCTGGAGGCACTTGTTCAGGGTATTGGAAAGAACTCCAGGAAAGATTGATTCAAACCCTTCGAGTGAAATAACCCTTGGAGAAGGCTGTTCTCTTTGTTTCTGGGCACTGAAGTTCCCTCAGCCCTGAAACAAACCAGTTGTTGTTGCTCTGGATCTACAGTGCAACTAGGAAAGGGTCTGGGATGTCATGTATTTCAGTTTACATAGCCCTGCTTGCTTCCTTCTCCACTGAAGTTTCCTCACAGTGCTGATGATCATAATTGCTAAAGCTCCAGCCAGGGGTTCCAGTAAGTTCTGTGCTCACACAAGGACGCATGCGATACTGCCACCATGAGCATTAATCCAGTGGAAAATGAGTTTCCAGAAATGACAGCCGGATGAGAAGAGAAAAGGAGGATGAAGGTACAATAGTAAGACCACATGCTGGTACCATCTGCCTCTCCCTCACACTGTGCGAGGTCTCATGCTGTGTAGGTCACTCAAATGGATACAAGAGCTCTTAATCTAAGCACTGTCTAGCATCCCTGAAGTCACTGTAATGGCTTGCTCAGTGTGTCATTCAGCAAAAGCTTGAAGGTGTGCTTGAAGACAGTGCCCTTCAGAGAGAAGGGATGTGATGATGATTGACTGGCTTCTAAAACTTTTTTCTCTCTTTCTTTTTTTTTTTTTTTTCTTCAGGAGCTTGCTAAGCCGGAAAGATGCGTGAGTATAATGAAAATAAGGAAACCTGTGGGACCATCTGTCTCAAGTATCTGCTATTCATCTTCAACTTCTTTTTCTGGGTAAGCAGCTGCAGCCTTCTTCAGAGGCACATAGATAGCACAGCAGTTTCGATGGTAAGGGCAGAAATTTTGGTCCCAATGAAGTAATTGGCAAAATGCTCTGACATTGGTGGGACTCAGTTTTCATCCCGTAGGCCAGCACAAGTCACAGAAGTCGTGGCTTAATACTGTGGCCTCTAGTTGTTTATGGGTTTTAGTACAAAGTATAAAAAATAACTGGGTGCTTGAAAAATTGCAGTCTTTCTGATGTGTTTTTTCACATGGCTAGTGTCCTCAGGAGGCTATCCGCTATCCCTGTTACTCTTCTCAAAACAGCACGGGCAGTGGATTGGGTGCAGACAGAGCAAGAATAACACTCTGATCCCTGAGACTGGGTCCACACTAGAGCTTTCTAGAATGGTGCTTTCTACCTGAAGCCAAGAGATAATTTCTGCCTTTGGTGCCGGAGATAGAACATCAGAGCATGCAGGAGACACTTCTACAGAGAACTGCCTGTTGCTCCTTGACAAGCAGTGGAAAGCTGGCTGATGTGAAGCTGCTTCTGACCCTCTGTTGCTAGGTCGCATTCCAGTGAATTTGGCATCTTTTCATATTTGCCCAGATAAGATGGTGTCTATATTTGGGAGGGCTCAAGTCCAAGTGGAAATTGCTGTGTGCAGACAAATGCTCCAGTTAGCTTACACCTCCTGCTGCCAGGGGTGCCAAACTGGCCTCGTTGTTTCCCTGCCACTGCCAGCCCCTGTGAGGCCTCCAGGAGCCTTTCCCTTGGTCCAGGTCAGCTTTGGTTCAGATTGCAGAGCAGAGGCACATGCTGGCATCCCAGTCCTGCTGGGCATGAGGAAACTGCTATGTCAGAAGGCCCTCATTTGCTTCTCTCCCTCTTCACCCAGCTGGCTGGTGGGGCTGTGATGGCTGTGGGTATCTGGACCCTTGCTGAGAAGAGTGACTACATCAGCCTGCTCTCCTCCAGCACGTATTCGGCGACTGCCTATATCCTGGTTGTGGCAGGAGTAGTTGTCATGGTGACTGGCATCCTTGGCTGCTGTGCCACCTTCAAAGAGCGGCGGAATTTGCTCAGAGTGGTAAGTTTTACTTTTTTTGTTTTTTTTTTTCCCCCTCCCTCCCCATTTGGATTGGGAGTGAGCAGCTCATTTTTTTTCTTGAACAATGCCAATGTGGGGGGAAATACTTTGGATGTGTTTTGCACTGCAGACTTGCAGAATAGTTAGGGTTGGAAGGGACCTCCGGAGATGATCTGGTCCAATGCCCCTGCTCAGCCAAGGCCAGCTAGAGCAGGTTGTCTGGCACTGTATGCAGTCAGGTTCTGAATCTCTGCAAGGAGGGAGACTCCACAGCTGCTGTGAGCAACCTGCTCCGGTTGCAAAGTATTTTCTTAGGTTCAGATGAAGACTTCTGTATTTCAGCTTGTGCCTCTTTTCTGTCATCCTGTCAATCTTCTTCACCTGTGCTACAGCAAATACCACTGAGGCCTCCAGCTCTTAGCACTGGTGGTGTCCTTGTCCTAGGTGGCAGGTCTATTACAGAGCATTTCCTTCCATCCACCCAAAGAATGTGCTTACCGCTGCACAGTTCAAAAGTACAAAGTAATACTGGTGATATCTGTATTATACATAGGAAGGTCTTTTGGAAACTATTCAAAGCAAAATCTTTTGGCTCTTTTTCTCTTCCTTCTCTGCTTCTCCTAATCCCTTAGACTTTTCTGGAAAATGGGAAGAAAAAGGAAAATATGGGAGATCTGTAAGAAAAGTGGCTTTTGATGGCAATAAATTCAAACCAAATGAATACACTATTCTTTCAATGGCTTGTTTTTTTTTAAGTAATAAAAAAATCCAAGTAATATTTTATTTCCTTGCAAAAAAAAGATTTTATTTTGACTTTCACAAAAAAAAAATCACATAGTTTTGATATGCTGGTGTTCTTCTGTGTCCCTCCCTGTGTTGTTTTCTCAGCAGCTTGCTTATCAACCTGCACTAAAATTTTTGACCAGCCCTTTCCCCTTTCAGTCTGAAGTGTGGCAGCAGTCCTTCAAGAATCTGCAGCAGTGAGTGCAGGGACTGACATAACAATCAGTGGCTCTGCTTTCACAGTAGCAAAAAGGGGAGGACACTTTAGTGTCCCTTCAGCAGCCCTTCCAACTTTGCGAGTCCTCATTCACCCAACTGTCCTATTTTGTCTCTTGTTCAGAGAGAGGAGCACAAATACAAGCTATGAGCATTCCTGACACTTGTACCGCCGCCTTGGAGATCTAATATTTTTGGTGAAAAACAGAGTTAAGGCCAACAGTAGAGAGGGAAAAAAAAGTGGAGGGACTTGCTCCCAGAGAGCACAGGGTGGTTGCCTTGCGGGCGCTGGTTTCCTCAGGCTCCTGGTGTGTTGCAGTCCTTTTTAGCCTTACTCCAGTTATTCTCCATGTCAGAGATCCCCTTTTGTCTTTTTCTGTCAGCCAGAAGCTACAGATGAAAATCGGGTGTGAAAATCTTTGTTATTCTGCCCCAGCAACCCCAATAGTTGTCCCCGGGGAACAAAAGCTGGCTCTGTGTGCTTACACCATGTGTCCTTTCAGAGTGGCTGGTTGTGACAGGCCTATTGTCTCTCCCCACTCGTGCTCTGCTTTGGTTGCTAGTGAGTAATCTGCACAAGAAATGCTGCTGTGCTCGCCAGGGCTGAGCCTCGGCGCCTTCGCCAGCTCTGAGCTCAGGCACTAACCCTGACATCTTTGGCGTCCGTGCGCAGGGGATTGTGCCAGCCTGTCCCAATTTCTCTCAGTAGCAGAGGCATGGAAGTGAATGCAGTAACTGGCATTTTCTCCTCTCCCCATTTCTTGCTGGTGCTTTTTGACAATTATGGCTGTTTGCAGAATAAGTATTTTGGTTTTAGTTTTTGATTGCTTTTCTGTTTAAGTCTCAGGAAGTTGTGACTTTTAGCTGCCTTCCTAGCTGCCTGGGAGTTTGAAGGGCTCACTTTGAGGATTTCTTCTGTATTTCATTGTTGATCACTCGCAGCTGTGGCACTTCTGTGTCCCTGCGTGTTTCCTCGTGTGCCTCCCTAGCCGAGTGCGCTGATCCGCGGGCAGTGGACGCAGAGTTCCTCGCGTAGCCGGGGTGCAGGGAGACGTGGCAGTGGAAAGGCAGCCTGGCCTGGCTGGCCGTGGCGCTGTGCTCTGCCCTGCTGCTGGAGCTCCTCAGTCACGTGCTGGCAATGACCTGCAGGCCTGCTCGAACTGAAGCTCAGATGCAGAAGCTGCAGCCCTGCTCTCCAGAGTTTCAGCAGGCTTTCTTGGGCAGGGACAAGGAGGCATGGATTAGGCTCTTTGCTCTGATATGTCCCTGTTATCACACCTGGCAGTCAGCATGTTAAAAAGCTGCTGCTGGGGTATTTCTTCTGTGCCAGGAAGAATCTAGTTAAGACTCTTCTGAGCTGGAACCCAACTGCTCCTGTCTCTTGGTGAGTTGCAAAGGCAAGAAGAGTGCAGCTGAACACAGGGGAATAAAACCTGCATCTCAAGCCAGCTCTTTATGAGCACGTAAGCCAGTCAAGATGCACGCTTTCATGCACAAAAGTATGCAGGTGGGAGCTCCCGGGAAGGACCTAGCAGATGGAAAGGACCTCGCACATAAAGGCAGCAGCTGGCTTTCTTCAGGCTTGGCCCCTCACTGCTGCATTTATTCAGTTGGCTTGGACAGGGAGAAGGGAGGATAGGTGGAAGAAATCTTTGCCCTCTGTGTTTGGAACATCCCATGCAGGCCTGACTCTAGCTTGGAGCCAGAGTAGGAGTAAATTTTCCTAGAGCCCACCCACATTCCGGAGTGCCTCCCAAAGGCCTTTGGGTGATCCAACCTTTCTTACTGGTTTCCCTTATTTGGGGGAGTGAATGTGACGTGTCCTTGCAACTCCCCACGGGAGCTGTCTGGCTTCTTCCCGAGCAGACCTGTGTGAAAGAGCCCTGTAACTCTTGATGGAGAGCAGAGAGAGCAGCCCTGTTCTGCACCGTGTGTGTGTCCAGAGCAAAGGCTGCCGTTCCCCTGGGTCGCTCCCCTGGTCGGCATGAAGTGGTGCAATAGATACTTAGAAGGGACAGCGAGGCCTGGAGGGAGAGGTGAGGCTGAGATAAGGGTAGTGCATAATGAGGTGCCTATCAGCATAGACAGATTGGATGCAAGGGCAGCAAATGCAGTAACCCTGAATACAAGGTATATAAAAAGGTCTCTGACTTGAATTTTCTAAGGTCTGACAGGTATAATTTGTTTTTTCTCCACCACAAGACAGCAGAAGGCGCTGAGCTGCAGTGAGACAGCTCATCTGCACCTGAGCGCCTCTGGCATGATGACAGAGAGCACCCGGTTTCAGGGGGATAAATGAAAGAAGCTTTCCAGGTCATTGGCTGTTTCCAGCATCCTACTACCCTCCTTCCCCCTCCTGTCCAGAGCAGTGATGTCAGAGCAGTCGGATGTGACTAGGTTGTAACAAAAAAAGCCAGTCTTTGTAAAAAGTGCCCCTCCTTCCTTACTCCTTTGAATGTCCGTCCTATGAGTGTTGGGACCAGCCTTAGCTCTCCAGCCCGGCTGATGACTCATTCCCATGGCATGAACGAGCACCTTGTCCAGCGTGGGCAGACACTGGCAGTGCTCAGCCCTCATGGGGAGTCGAGTGAATGCCTGAGATTGTGCACTCAGATTAAAGCCCAGCCTGCAGATAAAACCCAGCTGGCAGCCTTTGCAGCTGCTGCATCCCAGCAGGGTACAAGAGGAAACCTGAGCTGGGAGGGTTAGTGTTTATCTTCTGCAGAGGGGCTTGGAAATACCTGTGTTGACCAGGCAAAGGAGGGAGCACAGCAAGGAATATAACTCCAGTGTAAGAAAAGGCATCCATGCTATTTAGGCCAACTTGCTCTGTACAGGCCTTTACTGTTCTTGTATGTGTCAGGGAAACATAGTTTGAATTCTAGCTATATGTACTGGAACTGTTTGCTCGTTCCTTGGGTTCGTTCCTTAGGCTGGAATGAGCACAAAGCTCAGACTGTTTCCTACAGGTGATCTCTTTAGGTTGTTGTGAGGCTCTGGTGGTGGTGCAGGATGTGGGAACATACCTGGATTTTGAACTATTTAAGTAGATCTGTGATGATTCAAAAAATTGGCCTTTTTCTTTCCCTTTTGGTGGACTAGACAGTGAACTGACTGTAGCTATTGAGAGGGTCATAACATGAGGAAAGGCAAGACAGATATCCTAGAAACTTTCCTGAGGGAGCATGGAAGAACATTTGTAGGTATGTGGCACCTGGTGCTGCTGCCAGCCTTCACAAACAGATGTTTAGTAGCTTTATTGGCATTAAAGCACTTCAGTGAGAATAATCAATTTAAATATTTTTTTTTACAGATGGGGGGGGAAAAGCGGTGTGAAGGGGTTAAGTGACTTGCCAGTGTCATTGAAGAGGCCAGGGGCAGAGCTACAGAAAAATCTGTATTTTCAGAGTCATAATATGATGCTCTGGCTCCAGAGTACTCTGCCCAGTCCTCTTAGTCCCATTCAGATGTTCTTGCTGAGGTCTGACTTCCCTCCTTGTCTGTTCATAGGTAAAAGCCTCCCAAACCTTGTTAGTTTTCAGTACTGTCCTTTTGGTTCTCCTTGTGGCAAGCAAGACACATCCCACTCCTGGTCATCAAGTCCATCTTAAGAAATCATCTTAGTGCTGTCTTCTAAATATGGTTCAAAGATATTGAGCTTTTCTTTCTAGATCCCAGTTCAGCAAGACAAATACTTAGAGCCCTGATGGTGACTGTGTTCTAAAATCCATTGCTGTGAGTGCTGTTCTTGGGTCCTGCAGAAGTGACTGGGAATGCTGTAAGCTTGTGCTTAAGTGATCTGTTATATCCTAGGTGAAATGGGCCCTTTGTTGCTTTATTAAATCAGTATTATAACATGAATTTCTCCTTAGCAACCGTGAAAAGACCTAAACAATATCAAAACAAGCACAAGTTTTAAAAAGAGGATTTATTTTTAAATTGATGCCAGGAATAGATGCTTTCTGTCATATTGAGCATACTCATCAGGTTATTCACCGAACACTCTCTTGTCCTATGATCTTGTCACACTTTTCCATTCTCTATGTCCCTCTGGTTGTGTGAATTAAACTCACACTTGCTGCTGCCGGTCTTCAGATATCCCATGTTATTTTCCCTGTGAGATTTCTCCTATTTTACCCTAGCCTAAGTCCTAATCTCAACTGCAGGCCTTAAATGCTCCTGCAGAAAAGGAGCTCCTGCATCAACAAAGATGGGTTCGTGCGTTTCACGGGTCAGTGTGAAGCTTCATTCCAGCACCTCCCCATGTTCTGGTTTAATGTCCTACTTTCCCCCTTGTTTTACAGTACTTCATATTGTTGCTGTGCATCTTCCTTCTTGAGATCATTGCTGGAATCCTGGCCTATATCTATTACCAGCAGGTGAGTAAACATTTGTGCTTGAGGCTCAAACCAGGGAGAGAGAAAAGAGCTGGTGATCCCATTTCTGCTCAGAAATGCTGGAGGCTTGGGACCTAGGGTCTGGCTGGGGCTCAGCTTTCTATATGTCTGCACTATCTTCCCTGCATATAAAAAAGACTTTGAATATTTGCTGATTTTGATAAGGTGTTAGTGGTTACACGTGGGAGGGTGATGCTGCTCAGGGAAGACTGCAGCTCATCTTTGCTCCCTGCTTTTCTGCAGAGCCCTGTGGGAGAGGCCTGTTGAGGCTGTGTACATGCAGGGCATAAAGCAAGCAGCTGACGTTTTGATAGTGTCACCTAGTGTATTCAGGATATAGAAACAGTCCCTGCTGCATTCAGCAAGCCAGCTGCCATACTCCAGAATTGGCGAAGATGGTAAATGGTCCAGCTGAGAGGTTCAGGTCACTTTAGGTCCGGAAGTTTTTAAGAGTTTTGTGTAACTAGCTCAGCTGAGGGCCTGGAGAACATCATAGGCTCTGAACAGCTGCAGTCCTAACTTGGCACCTGCTGCAGCTGCAGAGAACAGTAGCTTCAGTCACTGCTTTGTTTTTAAACAGGGTTTAGCCACCAAGATACATACAGCCTGGGGAGTTGCCCTTGTGTCTGGGAATTAATTGGAAAGGGCAGACCAGGATTGCTGTCAAGTATCTGCCTAAAAATCAGCTGGGCATCCCAGCTTGTTGGCTTCACTGTCTGGTTTCTTTACCGTTCCTTTTATCTTGGGATTTCTGTGCTTTGCCTTGTTAAGATATGCACTGGCAGCTGGAGCTATGTTTGCTTGTACCAAGAGAAATCGGTGGCAGAAGTGTTCATATTTAATGGGGAAAGATCAATCCCGGGAGCATGGCAGGAAGCCAAGGTCCATCAATGCAAAGACTAAGTTACTGTGTGATAACGAGTGGAAAGGGGTTGTCTCAGATTGAAGCAAGGGCTGGCGTATTTGGAGCTGTCCCCTTAGAGTGAGAGCATGTGATCAGCAGCTGCACTTGCCCCCTCGCTCTGCCTGACAGAAATCACCCCTCTTTCCTGGGTGCAGGCTGCTTGCTCTGCTTGCCACTGGTTTTATTTCTACCCTTGCTTTGGTGTCTAAGGCTTGCGCTTGTGTGCCTAAACTCCGTTTCTTTTGCTGTCTCTATTCCATGCTGCAGTTCTTCCCCGTGAGCCTACAGGTAACTGCTTTTCTCCCAAGTAATAATTCTGCTAATGGACTCTCCTCTTTATTTGCCTTTGGTGAAGTCCCTTCAGCTGCTGAACCTTTTCCTTTTTCTTTGTTACGCTAAGTCCTTTGCACTTCTATAGAGCTTCCCAGCCCAGGATCTCAAAGCGTTTTGCAAATGTTAATGAATGAAGCCTCATATCACCTCTGTGAGGTAGGTATTGTCCCCATTTGACACATAGGGTTGGAAAACAATACATTTAAATATAAAAGGCTTCAAAGGGAAAGTAAACAACATACTGCATTTCATCCAGTTCAGCATAACAAAATGATTTATTGGTTACCTGTGAAGAAATAAATGTATGTAGAGAAGGTATCCATCCAGTTCATTCAGTGACACCATGCAGAAGGCATGATAATATTGTTTATTGGTATAGAAAACTTAGGGTTTCATACGTGTCAAACTAGAGCACTGTTACGTTATGAAGCAGGATGACAAACAGATGCAGATCTTGGGTACTTTCTGGCTGCCACGGGGGTGGATGAAAAGAATTCAAGCATATTAAAAGAGCCTCCCCAGGAGAGAAAGGTGTTTGAAAGCAGTTGCTTGAGCTTGCCAGTGGTTTATAGTAGAAATGTTTTCAGGAACGGTACACTTAAAAACCAGACTCCTCTCTCCAAGCCTTGCAAATGTGTCACTGGATAGACTGCTTTGGCTGTAATGTGCAATCAGGCCATTCAGAGACATAAGATGGCCTGTGGTGTCATAGACCTGCCCATGTTTTAAACAGGCACAATTTCATGCATTTGGTTCTGAGCCAAGCAAGTCTTGGCAATTTCTCTTACTTATGCTGGGCTGAGACCCTTGCAGTGATGTGTAGCACAGGCTTGAAATTTAACACAGGGGCAGCTCTTTCCACTTAATAAAATGGGAATGTGATCTTTGATCAGTTGGATATAGGCTTGCATGCTTCCTGGAAAGCAATCTGATGCAGCCTTGGAAGGGGAGCTGGAAGGAAGCTGTAGCTTTGCTAGGTCCCGCTGGGTACCTCTACCCTCAGTAGGTAGCTTCACTGCCACGGGGAGTAGCAGCACTGAAATGTATGATGGACGCTGGGGTGCTCAGAGGGAAGGTCGGTTTGCTGCGTGGTTTTATCCCACCTGTCTCTTCCATCCAGCTAAGCATGGAGCTAAAGCAAAACTTGAAGAACACCATGACCCAGAAGTACCGGAAAGAGGGAGAAGAGAGTGTTACCAATGCTGTAGACAAGCTGCAGCAGAAGGTAGGTGTCTCGAAAGGTAGGGAGCATTAAAGCAATAGCAGGGCTTAAGACCACGCAGAAGGCATCACGGGCTGTATTGAAGATGCAGATGTTTCACAGCTCCCTCTGATTCAAGACAAGTTTGCATGGGGCAGGGCCTGGGCCATGCTAGCAGCAGAGCTGCGTGTTGTGGTCTCTGAGCTGGAGTCACAGTAGCGTAGGGGAAGCTGAGGGCTCCCAACGTGGACTGGAGCTGCCCGGTCGCTCTGATGGCTGTTTTCTCTTCCCAGCAGTAGAGCCTTGGAGGAAAGGCTAACATGAATGCTGAACAGCAGCATTACTTTCAATGATTAGTAGTTAAATCCACCATGTTGTCACCGTTGGCACTCTCCAGTCCTGTGGTTAAGAGCAGAGGTTGCTGCAGGCAATTTCTAGTTACAGTCCACCCCAGTAGTAACTAGAGGCTGTGGCTGCTGAAAAGTGGGTGGTGATGATATTTAATGGCCATATTTGGGATTGTTAACAAAAAGGTCACTAATGAACATTAATGAGCCTAAAGAAATCCAGGCCAGTGAGATAGCTGGAGTGTCTGCAAAGGAAGATGAAGGCTTCAGGGAGAAGGCTTCAGGGGGAAGGAGGTTGCAGTGCTTGCAAGCTTAGCCTTTAATCTGTGTTCATCCAGTTCAAGTGCTGCGGGAGCAACAACTACACAGACTGGGCGGACAGCCTGTGGATCAGATCTCCAGAGGCCAACGGGCGGAAGGTCCCAGACAGCTGCTGTAAGACTATAACCGACCACTGCGGCCGAAGAGACCATCCTTCCAACATCTACAAGGAGGTAAAGAGCAAAAGAGCTTCAGAGTCTGCTGGTTGTGAAGTATATAAAGGAGGTGTTGGATCAGTGCTGCAAGTCTTTAGAAGGCAGAATTTATTTCTGTAGTTTGGAATCCGGCCTTTAAAGACAAATTATAACAGCTTCAAGGAAGACAAAAAGTGGAGGTGTTTAACTCTTTACAGCCAGGACTTAGGGTGGATTCTTACATGTGGACAAATGTGGGGACAGATGTGTGTAATTGTGTCTGCTAGTGTGTGGAGGATTGCAGACAACACCTGGTAAACACAATCTGGAGTACATTGGCAGGGAACCTGATTGTGGGAGAGGGTTGCAAAGCCAGAAAAAAAGAATCTTCAGCAAGAGGAGAGGACAGTAGGAATATTTTCTACAACTTTGTATTGTTTGTATTCGTTTATATGTAGATATAAAGATAATATAAAATATTTGCTATAAAGTATGCTGGTGATAGAATAAAGTGTGTGAGGCGGTCCCTTCTGGCACAGGACTCGAGATTGAGCCTTACATGTGACACAGTTCTAGTCATTTAAATTACAGGTGCAAATGAAGGTGGTCCTCACCTTCTTTTTCTAGTTCTTAGTACCTCTGACAGTTAAGGAGGACCTCAACTATGAGGGAATGAAGAACAATGCTGAACAGTGTAGAGGTGACCCCTTTAAAGCAAGTATTTAGTCGCAGAGTATGTCCTTTCTGCAGGACTCAGAAGAGGATTAGATAGCTTCAGGAGTGTGAGTAACATTTGCCATTAAGTCAAGCAGCTCAAACGGATACAAAAGGATCCAACCCTCTAGCCTTGTGCCATGAGCAGGGAGATGAAGCCAAGTCTCTCTGATCTAACAAAGCCTCTTCTTAAGTCCAGCTGCTTAGCTGGGTTTAGCCCCTTGGAGGGGGAAAAACAAAAAAGCCTTCGCCATGAGGTTTGTGTTTCCCACAAACAACAAGGAGGTGCAGAAAAGCATCCAAGGGGCTGATGAGGTGTCCCTGAGAGTGGACACCTGCAACCAGTCGAGTGGTAGGGTAGGCTCTTCCCTTGCTCTGTCTGTGCTGTGTAAAACTGTATTATTGGATTATTGAGAGAGCCATTCTAAGGTGCTTGTCACGGTGGGTTAGCTCTAGAGGAGAGAAAGTTCCCAGGGGTGGCTTGAATCTACATAAGGGCAGAGTTCAGAAAGGATTTTATTGATTTTGGGGGAGAAAAAACCAAAACCAGTCAGGGAAGAGTAATAACTACTTCAGATCAGGGCAACGGGGGTTGGCTAAACCCTCTAACCCAGGCATGAGGAGATGGAAACCTTTGGCATCCCTTGCTGAAGGGCTGTGTTCTCACTCCTTCCCTCTGCCTCTGTGCATGTAGGTAGGTGTGTATGCTCACTGAAAGCTCCCTGGGACAGGAGCATCCCCTGCACCCTTGGGACTCTGATGTAGCCTACACAATAAATCTCCATGTTACCATGGAAAACCTGCCTCTATATTAAACGGTTTAATTATTTAAAGGGAATTCTTCAAAAAAAAAAAAAAAAAAGTCTAATTGATTTCTTTGTGACAACAGAAACTTAGCAGGACCAAGTAGGGAGGGTAGGGCCACCATGCTAGCCAGGGGTGCAATTGCAAGGGAAGGCAGGCAGAGCCAGGCTGCTGAGGCCCACACTGAGACTTAGTGCTCTCGAAAACAGGAGTGGGAGGTGTTTGCTCTTAAAGGGCTCCTCTCAGGGGAAAGGTCTCAGTAGTGGATCTCTTCACTCTTGTGGCCTGACTGGAATAAATCCCCTCTCCAGATATATGTGCTCCTTGTGTTCCTCCTTCTAGCTAGCAGCCTTCTCGAATTTGCTGGGGAGTTCCTGAGTTCTCCTGCAGGTGGCTGTTGTAAGTGGTTGCTAGTAGGTCCAGAGCCATAATAAACATAATGCGGTTTACGTCATCTCTGTGGCTTTTTTGGTGGTGTTTTGGTGGAGACGATGCTCACAGATGCTGCTTTTTATAGCATGACTTTCAAAGCTTGCAATGTTATCCTAAGCAAGAGACAGGCAGTTAAAATGAAACTGATTCCATGTTGTGCCCTCCCTTCTGTCTTCACAGAATGGCTGCATTACCAAGTTGGAAAACTTCATTCAAGAGCATCTGAAGATTATCGGAGCAGTGGGGATTAGCATTGCTTGTGTGCAGGTAAAAAGACTGAGTGATGTTTTGGGGGCACGGAACAGAGTTTTAAAGAAACCCCGGAGTTGAGAGATCGAAAAGATCAGGCTTTCCCCTGACTTAGGAGGAGAAGCTGCCAGGTAATCCACGAATCCCAAGCACGGAACAGAGTTTTAAAGAAACCCCAGAGTTGAGAGATCAAAAAGATCAGACTTTCCCCTGGCTTAGGAGGAGAAGCTGCCAGATAATCCACAAATCCCAGGATTCACAAGCTCTAAAGCATGATCCTTTTTGGCACCTTTGCCTCTGGTGAAGGAATGGGAAGAACAAGCCACAGGGCAGCACTCCCATCATGGCCGTGGGAGAGGCTCTTAGTGCCGAGCATTTTGCAGCCTGAGAGAGACCTCTTGTGGGGATGTGCCATGATTGCCTGTGTAGCTAGGGAGATGCAGCCCGTCCAGAAGATTTTCCTACCCCAGATTATTACTTTTGTTTAGTATGCTCCAGATTTTTGTCTTTCTCTTTGTCATGTTGATGAGTGGCACTGTGAGTCTGCAAATGATTTTTAGGAGGGGGATAAGTAGAAAGGTGGGACATGGATCCCCCCTGCACTCCATTTTAGATGGGAAGAGATAGGATATTTTCTTCTCCCTGTCGCAGATGTCTCTGGGAGTTCCTCATCTTTCCCTTCTTCCTGGCAAGCGACCAAATTGCATCCCAGAGAATTTGCTGGTGATTACTTGTGAGGATTAGCACAGATTATACAGACTAGACTGCAGTATCCCCAGATGGTAGCTAGTTGCCACTAGAGTCTGCATCCAGCTATTACTTGCAAGTTCCGCACCGTTCAGCATCCACGTTACTCTGTCACCTCCCTGGCCTCCTCCAGCAAGCAGCTCTTGGGAGGTCTGAGGGGCTGCTTTTCAGAAGTGGTGGACTTGTGTGTTTCCCACCACTGTAAGATGGAGCTGTGGTGTTCAGCAGTTCTGCCAACTTGCCTGGGTGGTCAAAGGAAAACTTTATTCTGGGAAGGAAGGAAAAGAGGAAAGGAAACAGTAGACCTGAATTTATGAAGTTCAGTGTTTTTCCCACTTCTTCTTTTTCAGTGGTCCATAAACTTTTCTCATGCGTTTATCTTGTTTTCTTTATGCCCTGTAGATCTTTGGAATGATTTTCACCTGCTGCTTGTACAAGAGTTTAAAGTTGGAACCATATTAAGAGCTGCAGGAATTCTGTCAGCTCCCCCTCAGCCACCTCCCTTAGCGCCTGCCACCCTCCACCACCAGCACAGAAGTCAGTAACCTGAGGACTTGGCTCTATAATGAAATGCCTCCAGGACCATGCATTGCCTTGCCTGCCCTTTCTGAGGAGAGTCACCCTCCTTGTCTTGTACCAGCCAGGCAGGGGTTCAGTGGGTTTTCTTCATTGTCAAGAAGCAACTGAGCTGTGAGTCCTTTGCTAGAAGCTTTAGCAAAACATAAAACCAAAGCAAGATTATCCAAGGCCAATTTTCTTGAGGCTCTTCCTGAACCAACATGAAGATATCAAGACCCTATACAAGAAACTTGGTTTGCTCTCTGATAAGCTCAACAGCACCATGCATTGATTGTGAGGACAGATGATGTTTCTGCACTGAGCTGGAGCCAGGGCTGAGTCTCCCATATGAGGAAGATTTTTCTCTCTCCCCGAAGTGCACACTGATGTCTTAACATACCGGTGTTCATCCGAGAGGACGGCTGCTTGGTTGCTTGGGGCAGAATCCTCTCTCCCTTCAAACTGGGAACATAACTGGGTGCAATTGAAATCTTATCATGACTCCATTGCCAAAGTGCGGCTGCCTTAGGATTAACCAGCAATCCTTCCTCTTCCTCCTCAAAGCTTTCACCCAGCATGGTGCCATTAGGAGCCACGAGATGCCTTTTGTCTCTACTGATTCTACTGCAAAGATGTTGAACTCCGTTCTAACTCTTTCAGGTCTAGTTTGTTCATACATCCAGTGTGAATGAGAAAAGAAAAAGTAATTTGTTTCCTGGCGTCCTCTCTGCCGAGACTGCTCTGTCTGTGGAGTGGGTGTATCTCACTATCCTTCGGCCTGTTCGGCTAGTGGAAGTATCTTCTCCCGTCTCGCATACTGAGAGATGCTGTGGGCCTGATGGTGTGATTATGATCTTCAGGATTATCTTTCTTGCACAGGAAATGAATATGTACAAATGTTGTATCAGCTTCCAAAGTGTTTGGTAATCAGCCGATGGTTTTCTCACTTTAAGGAGACATGGAAACCCACTTTTCTAATATTCTTACCAGTAACCAGTATAATCAGCTTTATCCAGTTGCTCCAGTGTATTTGGTAAATTGGGAGAGCTTGATTATGAGTTAACCATCTGTTTGCTGCAGAGAAATAGGTTTTCTAAAATGTTACTTCTCCATTGGGAACCAGGGTATCTACAGGACATAGACATCACTGCTGCCACGATCTCTTCATGATGCCCACAGTATCTTAACCTGAATTCACAGGTGCTTTTGTGCCACTCCCCTCCTGGGGCTTTGGATTTTGAGGGTTTTTTTTCCTTAATGGTCTTGGAGAGGATATAGTGTTCTCTTCAGTAAGTCTGCCTGGTACAGCAGGGATCTTGCTTTCACCTTCCTGATATGCCTGTTAAACCTATGAAGAAGAAAGGCATGTGAAGTTTGGGGTTTGTGTTTTTTAAGCAGCTGAGACAAGCCCTTTCAAATAAATCTGTTCCTTTTTATGGCCTTTTAATGACACAGGCTCCTCCCTGCCCCTGGCAGCCAAACAGCAGTTAATCAGCCAGTGTCCTGAAGGCTCTTGCAGCATTGTGGAGGTTTTGATTCACAGAGCAGAAGCCCTGGGCTGGTTCCTGCAAGGGGGCTAATGGGTGACAAGTTGAAATTCAGAGCAAGTGAATCTGAAACTCCCTCATTGGCATCCATGCCATGAAATAATCCGTAGTACTAATGTAGAGAGGTGGAGGAGCTCAGGTGTATCCTTGTTCCCAAGGCAAAGGAAAAGAGGGGAAAGAAATTTAAATTATTGCATAATGATCTAAAGGAGAACTCTCTAAATTATTTCCTGTTTTATATTCAAGTTTCTGACAAGTATTGACTACTAACTAAGAGAAAATATTGAGCATGTTGCTTGAAGCAATATTTCTAGTTTCTTAAGCATATTTTCATATGTGCCTTTGCCCATTCCCTTCAAATATGTTGTACAGCAGGGGTGGGGGAAGACCAGGAAAAATGAGATGTAACAATACGTTGGCTTGTGTCCACTGACTTGTTTTATACTTTTTCTCTGTGTAATAATATTCATTGCCTTTTTTTTTTAACCTGGTTTAAGTTGCTGGCCAATAGAAAAATAAAGCTTAATATTCTATACCTCTCCTGTGTAGTGAAAACAAAAACATCATGTGAGCAGTATGGGTCATATGAATTCAGAGTCCACAGCGATGGCAGAAAGCAGGTCAAAGCTGAGTTTGTCTCTGCCTTTATGAGCTTCATGGTCACCAACTGCAAAGAAGAGGGAGAATTGCAAGGGCTGATTCTTTCAGCCAGGCTGAGCATCTACTTCACCTCTCTGCTTCTGCTGTCCTGCTCGAGATGCGCTGCTGTGGGGTCTCCTCCATGTGACACCCTGAGAGTTGGAGTCGCAGGACCTCCTGGCACAAGGTATTGCACCAGGCATGGGCCCAGGCTGTGTCTCTGGAAGTGTGCGCACACAGCACAATATCCCAGGATTTGTGGTACACCCAACTTTGCCTTGTGGGGTCCTTGGTAACCTGTGACACCTGGTTTCCACTTACTGTGAAGAAGGTGGAAATCCTTCCCCTTTCCCACATCCCTGTGCAAAAAATAGGGAGTAGATATGCACCCCATTTTTGTTACCAACCTCTTGAGTGCAAGAGGGGAGAGCGGCACATTACTAATTGAAAGTGCACTGCTACCCAACCGGCTGGGGACACCTGCCTGCCACCAACAGGCGTGGCCCCTCGGAGGCTCTCCATGCTCCACTCACAGTGCAGGTCCCCTAATTCTTGTAGGATAAGTAGCTCGAGCTGCTTTGCCTTGTGGGCAGTGGTGCCTCTGAGCCTGAGGGAACCAGGGGCAGGTCACTCTGGAAACGCCTGCGTGTTGCTCATTCCATGCTGGCAAGTGCCTGTTGTTCACACTGCAGGAAGGCAGCCGGTCATGCGGACCTGTGCCAAGGGCTTGGCCAGCCTTGGCCGGGAGGCTGAAGGGAAGGCTCAAGCAGGACAGGTATCCACCCTTCCTGCCAAAGCCTTGAGGGCCATCCAGGGCCTCTCTCAGTGTGTAAGGGTGAGCTGGTGGGTATAGACTGCCCTATGGAGGTTTGTGCAAGGGGGCCTGGAGCAGGCTGTGGCCTGGGGCTTGCCAGGTCTGAGCTTCCTTGAACTCATCTGTCCCCAACCCAGCTGCTTCCTTTCTGTCCAGCTGCCCCCAGAGCCTGGAGCTGCCCACCAGCTCACCCCTACAAACCAAGAGGCTGTGGATGGCCCTGTGGTTATGGGGAGATTCTGCCTCCCTGTGTCCCCAGCCTGTGCCCCCTTGCCGCTGCACTGCTGCTGAATCCAACTTGCCAGTTACTGAGTCTTCCGCTCCTTGGAGGACCCACCTACTAAACACTCGTTGTTTTAATTTCAGGCACGGAGAGCAGAGAACATGCAGGTTGCAGAGCATGTGAGAGCCTGGAAAAGCAGAGGGTGAGCTGTATTGCTTGCACAGGCGAGCTCCTGGGGTCGCGGTTCCTCACCGAGCACGCAGGAAGCCCTGTGCTCGTTCCTGCCTCCCCGGCCCTGCGGCGTGGGCAGCTCCCACACACCACAACCCCCACCAGTGACCTGGCTGTTCCTGCCATCTGGCTTACAGGTGACACGAGCGAGTTGCTTTGTAGGAACTGTCACTGGGCTGACAAGGATGTCCAGAAGGGATGTGGACCCTCTTTCCCCATTAAAAAAATCTCGCTCAAGGCCTGGTCTGGGCCAGGCTCGGTGATGGCTCCGCAGGGAAGGGCTGTGTCCGCCTTCCCGAGTGGCTGTGCGTGTACAGCTGCGCTGCCTCCCGGCCGGAGGCGCTTCTGGGCACGGCCGCAGCAGCTGGTTTCAAACGTCCTTTCCCCAACCTCGCTGCCTCAGGGTGGAGCCAGGCACAAAGCTGAGCAGCCCTGTGAGAACAACGCTGTGGGATCCCACACCTTGCTAGGTCACAGAGAATGGTCACAGATCCCATTCTCCTTCCTGTCCCTTCTCCATGCCGGTAGGGTTGCCTTGTGGCTCCAGCTCGAAGGGAAACAGTTCCTCCCTGGCAAGATTGTTATGTAGCTTCTGGTTTCTAATACGTATGTAGCAGTGTCTTTCTCTGAAGATCATATGCAGTGTGAAGCAATTGCTTAAAAGCAATTTTTCACATTCTTGTTTGAATTGACTTATTCTACAGTGTCAGTGATCAGGGTACAATTACCATTTTATAGCTTCCTTGCAGGCAGCTCAGTCAGGTTTTTGGGCAGTAGCTGTGCCCCCTCCCAGGCCAGGAGCACAGAGTCCTCTCCCTCCAGCCCTGGAGATTTGGGCTACGAGACTTTGCTGCTCGTAGCAATTTACTCACCCTGTGGCCTGCTCCCTTGGGGTACCCCAGTGGTTGGTTCAATTTGTTCAGGATAAAAACCCTGCAGTGAAAGCAGATGTAGCAGTAACTAGTTTCTGCAAGTGTCCAGCTTAGGGACAGACTGCTTCTGCACAGATTAAAATAAAAGTCAGGTACTTCAGACTCCCCTGTAGAGCTACTACTGGGAGTCTCTAGGTGAACGACATTTCCTTTCTGCTCCTTCATTTATTTAATCAGGAGCAATTTTCCCCCAGAGATGCCTTGGTGCCTATTTCTTTTGCAATTTGGCATTGGCCACCTCTCATAATGTCCTTGTGTCCTGTTGGGGTAGGGCTGAATAGGGCTGCAGTAGTGAAGAGAGAAAGATGAGGACCAGGCAAAGGGCACTGCCTTTCCCCCATCACTAGGCATAAAGAATACACCATGCTTGCTGCTAAGAGCAGTGATGGCTCTTTTCCTGCTGTGAAACATCCTCTGAAGAGTGGAAACTAAACCTCACTAGGAGGCTGCAGCACAGCACTCCCAGCTCTGCTCCCCTTCCTCCCTGCTGCCTTTCTCCACTTACTGCTCTCACAGCACAATGAAATTGGCTTAATGTACCTAGTCCTGGCTTCCCCACCCTTGACTTGCAGCTTGAAGCCCTGGTGTCTGCTTGCTGGTGCCTCTCTGGGAGCTGTTCCCTGCCTGGCCTCCTCCTGGTGAGACCCAGGCTCCCAAGGCCGCTGGCTCTCGTGGGCAGTGCGGGCAGCCAGGCGCTCACCGGTGCCGCAGCCGGCCTTTCTGCACAGCCTCGTACACATGGTGTCTGGCTGTGCACCCTGTTTCGGAG